TGGCAGAGGCCCTAAAAGTGGAGGACAAGAGGTTCGAGTTTTCTCTCCGCAGAGCTCACCAGGCCTCGGCATGGGCGATTAAGGCAGCAACATCATCATCTTTTTTTGCAAGGGCATCCATCATGTGGCTCCATGAACTCCAGGCTCTCATTCTTCCTGACCAGGTGCAAGCACACCAGACGTTGGGAAAATTAGTGGCAGCGTCTGAATACATGGCTGACGCATCACTTCACTCAGCCAGGTACTCTGCCAGATCCATTGCGGCCACAGTTTCATCTCGCAGGCTGCTGTGGCTGAAACAGTGGCGGGCCGACTTGAAATCCAAGTGGTGTCTTTCGACAGCCACGCACAGTGGAACGCATCTATTTGGCCCAGTTCTCGAGCCATATCTCATAGAGGGAAAAGACAAACGTAAGGTTCTTGCACACCCCTCTAAGAGGTTGGATAGACGGCCTCAACAGGACTTTCGTAGACAGCCTTTTCGTACGGGAGGTACCTGGGAGTGGAGACAGCCCTTTCAGACAGTGGCATAAATTAGATGTGCGCAGGGCTCTGCGCCATTATGTTAAGCGGACCTCGGCCTTTCGTAAGTCGGAGGCCCTGTTTGTGTCTTTCCAACCCTCTTCCATGGGTCAGAAGGTCTCCTCTTCGACCATTGGTAGATGGATTACAGAATGCATTGCTCGCGCCTATCTTTCACAGTCTCTCCCAGTCCCTACACACATCACTGCTCACTCCACGCGCAGCGGCCTGGTCTACCCAGGCATCCGTTGAGGAGATCTGTAGAGCAGCGACTTGGTCCTCTCCTTCCTCATTTGTAAGGCATTACAAGATTGATAAGTTTGCAGCGGTGGATGCCTCGTTTGGTAGGAGGGTTCTACAACAGGTAGTTTCTTCTCAGGGGACACAAGCCTAGACTCTTCCGCCCCCATAGGGACATGAGCAGCTTTTGTATGTCCCACCAGTGGATTCTACATCATGCTGGAGAAGGGGTGTTGTCTTACCTGAACGCCTTTTCTCAGCATGATGATGTAGAATCCACACGTACCCTTCACGGCCATCTAGGCAGGTGTCATGTTAAATGGAGTCATTGCGTCGGACTTCGTCATGGATGCTTCGCCTCGTCAAAACTGGGAAGGCACAGCCAGAGGGAGGCATGGCTAAAGTTCTGACTTAGTCTCATCTGAGCAGGAAGGCTGAGATTACCCACCGGTGGATTCTACATCATCATGCTGAGAAAAGGCGTTCAGGTAAGACAACGCCCCTTTTCTCTCATGGAGTAAATGTAGACTTGTCTGAAACTCCTGATGCTCTAGTCTAGGAATTATACACTGTATGATTCTAACAGAAAATTCAGAGAAACACACTAAGTTATTGAACTTTTCTATATGAGTTGCTTATAATTACCTGATAAATATCTTAGGTTGACAGTCAGTGCTGGTGTTGTTATCTCATCACAAGATAGTCATTGGTGTAATGACTCATGGACAAGAGTGCAGCACAACAGTGTTATTGTTATTCAACCTTAGTTTACAACTGCCACATTTTACATGTCTAGCTGTAGTGTATACAGCATACTAAATTGAAAACCAGGGTAAACAGAATTTAATTACTGTGTTCTCATAAGCATGCTATGGCCATATCAAAGGAATTATATTATGACTCACAATCAAATTCACACATTATGTTAATACAAGAACATGATGAATCATAGACTATCCAATCCCATTTTCACATAGTCTACAGTAATGTGTTGTGCAGATCTAATTGAAGAGAAGGCTGAGACAAATGAAAACAAATGTGTAGAACTTTCTTGCTTCACTTCATAAAGTTCTGCACAGCATGTGGTTTTCTTAAAATTCTGGCCAATTACCTCAAATGAATTTAACCAGCTATAGCAGTGTTTCTCAACCTTGACAATTTTAAGGCATGTGGACTTCAACACCCAGAATTCCACAGCCAGTATTGCTGGCTGTGGAATTCTGGGAGTTGACTTCCACATGCCTTAAAATTGTCAAAGTTGAGAAACACTGAGCTATAGGAAGGAGTAGAGACTTTTTTTTCCTTCTCTAGCAACTATGTTAAGCACTTGTGACACCCTGTCCTGTGCTCCACAGTGACATGGGTGGAGAACACCCTGCTGAAAAAGATAATATTAAGTAGATGGGGGAAAATGGCTCTTCAAGATGATTAGGATGAATAGTCAGTTCAGGGGCATGGCTGGCATAGCAGAAAAGGACAAAGTGACACCAAAGTTAAAACATAAAGGTCAACAAATGATACAGTTCTTTCGTACTATGCGAAATGGTCCAAGACTATCCTTTGAGTTGCAGCTATTTCTAGGTGAGCAGATAAGAAACTGAATCTTGAAGACAAGGACTTAAGAAACAAATATTTATATGGGCATGCTTCTGCAAATGGTTGTCCTTACCCAGAGATAGATTATTCAAGGGTCTTCAACACCCCTTTTATAGTCCAAAGTACCATCCTGCCAACATTTTGATGAGCATGTCATGAATCTGGGTGGTGTTTTTCAGGACAAAATGATGTCTTAACACTTGCAGAAGGTCGAGGCTGTCATTTCCTCTTCCCCAAATCTTATCCCCCTCCCAAATGGGCTGATTTTTCCCATCAGGGAAAGTTAATGGACAAAACTCTTAAATATTTCTCCAGCTGTACCCCTCCAAATAGGTTAAAACATTGGTTCTGCTTATTTCAGATCAGGCCATTACAGGACTAGTGGTTAAAGCACCAGTCTATATGCCAAGAGACTTATGCGTTCTAGTCCCACCTTAGGCATGAAAGCCATTAGGTGACCTTGGGTCAGCCATTCTCTCTCTCAGATCAATTCATCTCACAGGGTTGTTGTGGGGAAAATAGGAATAGGAATGAGTATTAGGCCTGTTTGCCATCTTGAGTTATTTATATAAATAAAGACAAATATATATTAATTTACACCGCAATGGACCTTGGAAGCCAAAGAATTAAAAAGATAGCCAAGCATAAAGTGCAACAAGTGATTTATTTTTGCACACAATAGTTTTCAAGTGATAGTGGCTGACTTCACTTAAGATGGTAAATCAAAATCAAACTAATTACTTTGTGGCTTAACATAGTTGGTGTACCCAGCCTGGGATAGCTTTAATCCAGCAGAGCTTATTTCCACATAGCTGGGTGTGCATAGAATGTAGCCTACTTATTAGACAGTATGTCTATTGCAATTTGCATTGCTTTCATCAGATTGTTCAGTAAATATACGCTGAGAGTGGGAAGTGTTTTTTAAATCAGACACTTAATTTACCAAATTGCAAGGTCCCACATTGAAAAAGAAACTATTTTTCCCCTCAGTGATAAAAAAGTGCAGTTTTGGGAAAGCGTGCTCATAACTGGGGAGCGCAGCTTGATCAGTAATGGCTGCACATGTTTAGTGCAGAGCAAAACATGGCCTGCCAATGTGCTTTGTCTAAAGATTTTGGGACTACCCTCTGTTTTCCAATTTGGCTAGAGGAAAACTGGAATATTTCACTGTTTTATTTTAAATTAATATCATTTTTTTACTAATCCATAAATTAAAATTAACTCTGCAATCCACGAAGCGGGCGTTATCATATTGCCAATGCTAGATGAGGAATAGGAAGGTTGTGATAGGTAGGAGTGCAGGGGAGACTTTGATAGTAGTTTAGACTAGTACTTCTCAAACTCAGCAGCTTTAAGAAGCAGAATTCTGGGAGTTGAAATCCACACTTCTTAAAGTTGCTCAGGATTGAGAGGGATCTCGGAGTCCTAGTGGGCAATCACTTAAATATGAGCCAGCAGTATGCTGCAGTTGCCAAAAAAGCCAACACAGTGCTGGGCTGCATTAACAGAAGGATAGAATCAAGATCACGTGAAGTATTAATACCACTTTACAATGACTTGGTAAGGCCACACTTGGAATACTGCATCCAGTTTTGGTCACCACGATGTAAAAAAGATGTTGAGACTCTAGAAAGAGTACAGAGAAGAGCAACAAAGATGATTAGGGGACTGGAGGCTAAAACATATAAGGAATGGTTGCTGGAATTGGGTATGTCTAGTTTAACAAAGAGAAGGATGAGGGGGGACATGAAAGCAGTATTCTAATATCTCAGGAGCTGCCACAAAGAAGAGGGAGTCAAGCTATTCTCCAAAGCACCTGAAGGCAGGACAAGAAGCAATGGATGGAAACTAATCAAGGAGAGAAGCAACCTGGAACTAAGGAGAAACTTCCTGATAGTTAGAACAATTAACCAGTGGAACAACCTGCCTCCAGAAGCGGTGAATGCTCCAGTACTGGAAGTTTTAAAGACGAGATTGGACAGCCATTTGTCCAAAATGGTATAGGGTTTCCTGCCTGAGTAGGGGTTGGACTCGATGACCTCCAAGGTCCCTTCCAACTTTATTACTACTACTACTACTACTACTACTACGATGATGATGATGATGATGATGAAAGCCTCATTGGGCCAGGATTCCTTTACATCAGGGTGTCAAACTCAGAACATCACATAACGTGTCACGACATATCGCGACTTTTTCCCCATTGCCAGAGCTGGGGTGGGCGCGGTTTCAGCATGACGCATCCGGCCCTCAGGCTGGCAGTTTGACACCCCTGCTTTACATGATAGGCCTGTGATGCTCCTGGGAGAGTCATCAAACTGCATGTTTGCATTAAGCTTTTTGATACCTGCACATGGGGGATGTATTTATGTAGTTGTGAACTCAGTTGGATTTATCCATTTTTAAGGCAGATCTTTCCACAATGATGTGTCTTCTGATCACTTCCATCCTTTCTTCCAGTTTGGATCAATTTGTCCCTTTCTACCAACCATTATTAATAATTGCTCCAAACAGCAAAGGCAATGAAGCCATACAATAACTGAATTAGAGATAATTCTATCTGTATTTGACTTTAGAAAGCAAATATTTTAACATTCTTTCAAATTGTCAAACAAACAGTGTTATCTTTTCTTTGATTACAGGCATTCTGTTGGTGTGGAAATTATAGCTGTTGAAAGTGGATTGATCTCGTGGATCTGTAGATAGTGAGCAAGAAACATACCATGCCCGTCCTATCTGAAGATTCAGGTATTTCTGCTACCTTAATCATTATATCATTCTCAGTTTATGTTTTAAAAATGTATTTTTCTGTAACTATCTTACATGAAATTAGAGATCCAGAAGCCTCTAAAGATAAGTCAGTTTCTAGTGCTATTCATGTACATAAACACATGCGTAGTTTAAAGTAAGCTGATAGTAAAAAAACAAAGCAAATGTAACAACAACAAAAGGAAATCTAATCTCGTTAAACCTATATAAAATGTAAAAAAACAAAAAGCAGTGCCCTTTGGCCATTTCTTTTTCAGATTATAAATCAGTTTTCCCATATCTGTGGCCCTGAGGTATTGCCAGTTCAACTGAATTGGGACAGAATTCCCAGTAGATATTTGGAAGATGTAGTTATCCAGAATAGATTAGATTTATAATCTTGAGAAGAGGGGATTAGTAATTGACAATGTGATGTGGCAGGTATGGCCACATGTACCATGCCATTAGATCAGTGTTTTTCAAACTTGGAACTTCAAACTGGTTGGGGAATTCTGGAAGTTGAAGTCCACAGATCTTGAAATTCTCAAGTTTGGAAAACTCTGCACCAGATGGTGACTGTTGACTTCCAATGTGAAATAAATATGTTTAATTGATTTTGATTTATGTGCTTTACTTTTTTATACAATATTTTAAAAAGTTTACTTTTGGTACCTATGGCATTGCATTGCTCCAGCCCAGAAGTTACTAATACCTATTCTAAGAACAATGAAGTTCTACCTTTCTCTTGACTCCAGTTTTCTTTTCTAGCTGATGTCCAGCATTCAAGGATGTACATGATGATTAAGGCTTTTCTCCTTGAGTTAATCGCTCCCATTGTAAGAAGCCATTTGTACAGAGTTAGAATAGTTTTCAACTAATCGTTCCTTTTTTCCTTATCTGTCCCATTTTGACTCTGATCCTGCTGGTATGGAGCTCTGAACTTACATATACAAAAATGGTGCAAAAGTGATCATAATCAGATAGGTGAAGTAGGTAGAATTGGTTGCTAAAAGCAATCTTGTATTCAGTGGAATAAATAAAAGATACAAAATCTACAAAGAAAAAGATTCTTGAAAGCCTGGGTACCAAAATAATAGCAAAACATGCTAAAAGATTTTCCTGGTGAGATGGAATTCTAAGAATAGGCTTCAGGATGAAAGTACATTTTCTGTCATCACTGTTATTGTTTTGCAGACATGGACTGGCTTGTTCAGTAAAAAAAAGTTTGGATTTGGAACTGGAATCTCCAGAAATATGAAAAGTAAACTTTAAGGAATTCTGGGAGTTGAAGTCCAGACATTTTAAAGTTGCAAGTTTGAGAGACACTGCTTTAAGGGATTTCTTTCTTCCAATTTTCTGGCTTTAAGCTGATATTTCAAAGTAATGTTATAAAGTCCTTTTTTGGAATAGATTAAACCTCTGTAAAATGCTATTTTACAATTTGATCATGGGCATTCTGACCAGTCCCTTTTATATTGATCCTTTAGGTTTGCATGAGACGCTTGCCCTCCTGACCTCACAGCTGAGGCCTGACTCCAATCATAAGGAGGAGATGGTATTCCTGAGAGACATTTTTAGTGAGAGAAGTCTCAGCTGCTTAATGAAAGTAAATATTTTTCTTTAGAGAAAATCTTGCTGTTAGCTTCCTAGTTTTCCTCTTTTTCTGATATTCAAACTTGGGTCTCAAAATTGGACATTGTGACGTGTAAATATGCTGCAGAGCATGTTTCTGAGCACACATAAAGTTTTTGAACACCCACAACATACATTCCATAGTTTCTCAAAGATACTTTGAATTTTCACCCAGGCTGGGGCCCTTTTTTTGGTTTATTAATAGTAAAAATTTTACATAATCTAGGGTCCAGTGGTGTGATAAAAAAGTGGTGGAAGCTAAGACTGCCAGAATCTATCAGACTTTGAGAATATTGTGTTGTATTTTCTTTGTGGGCCATTGATCATAATAAGCAGAATATGGGATGGTGGTGGTAGGAATCAAGATGGCAGTTGTGACTGTGCAATTAAAGCCCTGCCCCTTGTTCTTGAGCATAATGTGAGTGCACATACAGAAGAGCTGGGCCTCAGTTATACAGTTGTCGCTATCTATTTGTTGTTTGAGGGTGTGTTTTTTTTACCCTACCCCATCCCTGTGGAATCTTCTGATGATCCCTGGAGAAATAGCTTTAGTAGGTCTAAAGCTCTTCTGATATTCTTAGGCTGTAATCAGTAAAGATAAATAATGCAAACCTTTCCACTTCATAACATACAATTTCCTGCTTGAACACACAGGTGATTATATGCATTGGATTTGGAAATATTTGGAAAACAAAACATGTGATAATTCTTTGGCTTCTTATGACCATGAATGGGAAATAACATTTTCTAAAGGGACAAGGAAATGATTTGCAACAGCATGGACAAGTTACCAAAAAAAAAAAAAAAAGTGATGGGAAAAAACCAATTTGGAAAGTTATGCTTAGAGAAAAAGCTATGGCTGTTTAACTTGTCTTGTAAAATAAGAATACTTAATCCAATCTGATTGAAACTTGACAACCTCTATACTTGCTAGTGTTATCCCACATGCATGATAGAATTCCTGAAAATAACCTGTCAATTGGATGGAAGACACTTTAAGTTGTAGGCACAGAAAACTGAATTTTAATTGAAAATAGTGAAACTTGGGCTCCTGAAAACAAATGCATAATTCATGAATGAAAAGACAAATGCAATTGAGAGAAATGAAATATTAAGAGATATTAGTCTTCTCATCCTCTGGTTCTAATTGCATAGATGTTTTGTTAGTGAATCAGATGGAATGAAAGAAAGTTTGTCAGTGAAATAATTCCTGATTTTATGATGCTAATTAAATGAAGGGTTTAATGGTTAGTGGGAGGAGGGAGTGTCTATTAAATCCAGGTGCATGTGTGTTTTATGCATTTTACACATTTTATGCATATATAAACTAACAAATGTACACAGGTAGTCCTCAACTAGAGCCTATGGTCGAAAGCCATGATGGTTGTTAATTGGGTCATCGCATGACACACCCATTTTACAACTTTTTTTGCAGCAGTGGTTAAGTGAATGAGGGGGTGGTAAAGTGAACCCTGTAAATGTGGTCCAATTGCTGAATGTTGAAAATGTGGTCATGTGACTGTAGGGAAGGAGTGGCCATCGGAAATTTTTCAGGATCTGTCATAATTTTGAATGGTGACTAAGTGACCGATCGTAAGCCGAGGACTATCTGTATGTAAAATGACTACCAGGATTTTATGCATGTGCACTAGCATGCAGAATGGCTAGATTTTGTCTGTTTTGGCCAAGTTTGTTAAACAAGGTCTGTGAAATCAAAGTTCATTGAAGTTGTTTACAAGTCTGCCATATTGTTAAAGAACTTTAACTGTTTCATGGAATGGAAGAGTCTACTCTTCTGTCAGCACAGATTTGCAGTTCAGCATCCTGGTGAATTGGAGTTAAATATGCAAGGCAAACAATTTAGATTTAGAAGGGCAGCATTTTAGCCCACAAATAACGGCCTTCAAATTCCTGTTTTTAAACAAATTGGATCTTGCTGCAAATGAATCTACTTGTAAAAATGAACAAACAAACAAACACACTGAATCTCCTTGAAATAAGCCTGTTAATAAAGCTTGTATTCAAGGTCTTTGCTCACAATTTGAAAGGAAAGGAAACCACTAGATTTTTACATTTTGTTTGTAAACATTATTTTTTGATAACATGAGTTTACAAAGCTCTCTGCAGAACTTGGACTGTATTTTCAGTTAATAACAATGGATAGAAACACTTTTGGAGGGAACATTGAATTCAGAAGAAATACAAGTAGATGAATTCTGTTTCTGCAACATCAATGCCTATGCACTGTACCAATAGTGCATAGTTCTTCTTTAAGAAACTTATAATTATTTTGGTTGGGTTATGGGTGATGTATTGTTACAGGAGATGTAAATTTTTTCAGCCCTTTAGTCAAATTTGGAACTGGAAAGTATGCTGTGGGTTTCCTGCAAAATAGTAGTCATAGAATGGGATCCAGTCCATTCACAACATGATTGCCATAGTTGATTGTGGTCAATCACAGAATACCCAGAAGGCAACTTGTTGTGTCTCATCAATGACCAATTTGGTAAGACATTGTGTGCAACCTGAACCTACGGTATTGTATAGTCGCCATAAGCCAAATCATATCTTTGTTCCTCCAAATTAACAATATTAATTTCATGGCATGTCCAAAAATGCCCAGGGAAGAGACTGAGAGACTAGTGAGAAATCAAACAGTGTAGTATGTGGAATTCAAGGAAAATAATCAATATTCAAAGAATAGAACTAAAATAGGATTGGCAAAATGCTTCACCAAATGTTTAGCTCCCTGATTAGATATATAAGATACTAGTCTGATAGAAAAACTGGGAATTTGGACACACAATCCTCCTGCTGGGGAATCAAGGCACCTAACCTTTTGTACAGATATTTAGTCCAAAAAGTGGTCAGAACCTGGAATGAGAATTTCATCTGAGTGAATTTTAACTGGAAGCAATTTCTGTTTAAACCTAACTAAAATCAAATACAACTAATTAATATATTATTATTAAATATTATGTTATAATTATATATTATATTATAAGGACATGTATATATTATATATAAACTATTAACAATTATTCCATATTATTTATTGGCCTAAACTGAATTAATAAAGAATTCAAAACCATTAATATGTAACTTCTTACATGTTACTAATTTTTCTGTATTACCTGTAAAAATCACAAATAAATAAATACATGGTAACTCATGGAGAAACACTGGGGCTCAGGAGGATTGTTCACACCATAAATATTTTGTGTATTTCTGCTTTGGGGATAGAATATGATTTTTTGTTGTTTTGAAAGATGCACTGAGTTGTAGAGAGGGTATCCTTGATAGCTCCTGGCCAACCTGGAGCTTTCCCACCTAAAGAATATTTGTTTTGCAGTCCTGCCATCTCAGCCCTCAAGCATCCTGTGCTAAGAAGATAAAAATTGCAAGAGCCATCAGGCAGCAGATGCTGCTGTAGCCACAGATTTATTTATTTATTTTTAAAAGAAGCCTGTTATGCTCTAGTCACTATATAGGTTCTCAAACTGATTGAGAGTAAAATGGGAAATTGGAGTAGTCTTTCTTTTCCACAGTCTCACATGTTAGATATTACATTTGATTTAAATAAATCTTGTCTTGAAAGGATCTGTTTCTTAGATAGCTCAAACCACTGGAGGTTTTGTACATGTGTACATGTGCATATTGTCTGTTTTCTGTTTCAGATTCATGAAAAATTGTGCCATTATGAACAACACAGTCCGGTCCCAGTACTGCATAACGCCTCTGCTCTTGCTGAAGATGTAAGTTCATCAGGGAGAGAGCAAAGGGAAGGAAACAGAATGAAGAGTTGTCTTCAATGTGCCGTTTTTTCACTGCAGTGTTAAACTTGCTGAGGCTGAGAAACACTGCTTTAAAGAACAGCTGTGGGATTGCAAGATGAAAGTTTTGGTGGGCATCCTTTTCACATCAAATGGCAATGTGGGAGAAGGGCTTCTCTGGATCACTTTGCCTAAATATTAGAACTGGAGGAAATTGCTGGGTGGCACAACTTAGAATCGAGAATTGATGCATGGATAGGATTGGACATCCTCTCCTCTGTTTGTCAGTTTTGAATTGCTTCCTTTCTGAATTGTTAGTGAGATACGATTGATTGTGGAGGAATTCTCAGAAATTACAGTACATCCATTACATTCTTTGCTCTTTCTTTATGAGGGATCTTAACTTAGCATTAGAAAACATTCTGTATGTTCAGAAAATATCAACATGGACAGTCTGCTTTCTCCAGCAAGGCTGAATACGATGTTGCCAGTCAAGAAGTAAATCCAGACATTGCCATTTTTTTTTTTTGACTGGATGACAATCTTGAAATTCTGAGACCATGTTGTGCATAGTACTCTCACAAAATGCCTGGAAGTATGCACAACGTTGTCTCCCTGCAAAAAGGTTTTCCTAGGGCAGGGGTAGGCAACCTTGGCTCTTTTATGACTTGTGGACTTCAACTCCCAGAATTCCCGAGCCAGCCATGCTGAGGGAAAAGGGAGAGGTTTCAAAGCTGAGCCATGCTGGCTCAGGAATTCTGGGAGTTGAAGTCCACGAGTCATAAAAGAGCCAAGGTTGCCTACCCCTGTCCTAGGGGAAGTGGCTAGTCAAAACATACATGAATCAAAAGTCAAACAAGTGAAACTGCTTTCAGTTTATGGATCTCAAGGATGAATTAAGCCACCTTCAGTTTACTTATGCCTTCTAGGCAGGGGAGCATTGGGCTGCAATCACCCACCCATGAAGCAAAGTGCTGGGCTAAGTCACCCAGCACTTTGGTGGAATGTAGTCTGGATTCCCACGAAGGGGGGAGGGCATTCCGGTGGAGCAAAAGACAGCAAAGTTTAGATAGTTTGAGTGGGAGAGAGTTAAAATAGCTTCTCCTTAGCAGTTCTCAGAGTATATGTTTAATGGAGTAAATAGTCTTTAATTTGGTAAGATTTCTGTCTGTAGACAGGGAACAATAAAGGAAACTGCTTAGAAGAACCTCAGTTGTGCCTTTCTTGGTTTTTGGAGTATGGAATTCTTAGAATATTAGTGAAACGTTTTTATAAATGAAGATTGCTGAAAGTAAATGCTTTATTTCAGTAGGCATTCTTCCAATAAATATTTCATACAAGTCAGCTCCCTGTGTTTCTTTGGTCCTTTTTAATTCTATGCATGTTGCAGGATGACATGAGAGTTGGACTCTGTTATTGTGTAATTCTGATACATTCCAGGACTTCTGCTCTGGACAGTCGTCCTTTTCTAGAGTGTGATCCTAAAATTAACAGACAATTCATTGTCTTGTCTGTTTTGTTTGTGGGTAAATTTCTCTCTCTTTTCTTTATTAAGGTGATAGAAGAATTGCAGACTGCACCGATGAATAATGATGAAAAGGAACTGCTTCAGCTGCTCTCGACTCCCCATCTCAGGGTAAAAGGCTTTCTTATTTGTAATTCAAGGAAAGACTGCTGGTGTAAGCATTTATGTCCTTCGGGTATTGCAAGTGGGAACTGTGGCTTTACTCTTCTTTTTATCAATTTTAGACATTTGCCATAACTTAACGTGTAACAGGCTAAAACTGATTCCTGCTGCACAATTTCACAGGATCTTCAGAAGATTTTTTACCCTCTGTCTGCTGTAAGGATGGGACTTCTAGTCAGTGAGAATGGATAAAGAATAAAATGTTTACAGAATTCAGCCATAAAGAAATAAAAGAATTTGATTGGAATTAATATTTGTCACATAGTATGGGCACCGAAGGATTAGTTGAGAATGATAAATATTCTCATAGTCTATTTTGTTAGGAATATTAATCTGGGGCTACAAAAGTGACCACAAGAAGGCAGTAAAGAGACACTGAAACATCTAATTCTTTTCTGTCTGTCCATCCGTCCATCCATCCATCCTTCTGTCAAATAGATCAGGGGTCCCACACAGTGCATGGCGTGGTACCAGGCTGCCGCTATGCAAACAGTGGGTGAGTGTGTAAAACTATCACCTCTTCTCTCCCCCTGCCATATCAGCAGTCAGCAGATCCGAAAACGTTGAAAACCGCTGAAATAGACCAAATGTGGAAAGCAAAGACATGCAAGCTAATATTACTTTTATTATAGAGTTTTAATAATATGATCATGCAAGTCTGAATGTGTTTCCCCTTTCCTTCCTCCCTACTTCCCTTTTTTCTTCATGAGAAGTAAGGAGCTTCAGGTCTAAGGTGCTTACTTAAATTGCATTTCTGCCCTGGACTGCAATTTCTTTTATCTTGCCATTGTCTTGGTTGCAGTTGTTCCTCTTGTTCCTCCAGATGACTCCTTATGCCCAATTATATGTTCCCATTTTGTAGTGGAGAAACGATTTCTAGAGTGAAAGAGTGCCATTACCCTCCTTTCAAATGGCTTCCATCTTTTCTTGTATCAACTTTCCTGATGGAAAGGAGGGTTATGTATATACAGAGGAGGTGCTTGATTTTGTTTACTCCAGGTGTCCCTTTGACCCCCAGATGGGATCTGCAGGAGTTAGGCCAGAGAAATCTACTTTTTTTTTCCAATTTGGGGAGCTGGAGAGTCCCTTAAAGGGAGAAATTGCCCCCTTAAACTTAAGTTGTGCGGATTCAAGTGGGAGCCAGTAGTGGTGGTTGTGTTAATGTGTAACGGTTATTCAGTTTAAAGGCTACAGATCATCATGCCAGGAATCCATTAATTGATAGCAGGGATGTGAGAAAGAGACTGAGACTGACAGATAGTCCTTGACTTACAACCATTCGTTTAGTGATTGTTCAAAGTTAGAACAACATTGAAAAAAGTGACTTATGACTATTTTTCATATTTATGACCATTGCAACATCCCCATGGTTACATGATCAAAATTCGGATCCTTGGCAACTAGCATATATTTATGATGATTGTAATGTCCGGGGGGGGGAGGGCATGTGATTGGGACCCTCTGACAAACAAAGTCAATGGGGAAGCCAGATTCACTTAACAACTGTGAACAACTGCTGTGATTCACTTAACTGTGGCAAGAAAAGTTATTAAATGGGGCAAAACTCACTTAACCACTGTCTTGCTTAGCAACAGAAATTTCAGGCTCAGCTGTGGTCATAAGTTGAGGACTACCCATATTTGCACTTTTTTGTGGCAGCAGCAAATCAACTGATTTGTATGGTTTCATTCTTATCCGTAGAAAAGATTATTAATCTGCTGAGCCCTCTCTGTGAGATTTCTGCCTAGTCTAGTCTATGTGGATCTAAAAAGTGAAGTATCAGGAGATCTTGGATTTACAGCTAAATCCCAGGCAAAGAACTTCTAAAAGTAATTTATTTTGTATGCTAACACCCCCACCTTAGGAACATTTGGCTTAATTTTAAGGGGTTCAAAGTTTTTAAGGATGCTCTAAAGTGTCAGTTCCATTCTCCAAACATCTTTTCAACTCTCCAAAATAAAAATGGATCTGACATGTTCAGCTATACTCACTCTTGAACATACAAATGCTGTGATAAGGTGGAATGAAGGATGTGCCACTAGGTTCAGGTTGCCCCATCTCTGCCCCAAGGAATCTACATACACATGCTGGCTGGAAAAATTTTGGATATTAAAGTCATACATGTTAAAGCTGATGAGGTTCTAGCTACCCTGCAGATGTATGAAATGGCTGCTTCACTTTGGCTAATAGTAGGGCTGGCCATAAGAAGAGAGGAGTGGAGATCAACTTTGACTTAGGGCTTTTGGGCCAGAGGAGGTTTGTGTTGGGAAAAAATACAAATAGCAATGCATGGCACTAGAAAGATGACACTAGAAACATTTGTGCCAGACACACATTCAGGAGGATGTTCCAGAGTGGACCTCAGCCTTGTCATCATAAGGAGATCCTTTTCCAGCCACCTAGCTATGGGAAGCTCCACACCATAGACAGAGAGTTGTGCACTGGGAGTTTCTCAGGGTTTGTTCCTAGATACCAGAATCCCTGTGTGGGTCTTAAATGGTGGCTATAGATACTTCTCTTTTTTATGGCACGTGACAAGGCATACAAGAGGCAGGACTGCATTGCAACACTGCATTTATTATCTTGCCTTTTAGACATTCTTTCCCCTTCCATGGTTGCTCCCAAATGTTGGGAGGTCTGCCCTACAGATCCGTTTATCTGCACCCCTGCTGATTCTCTAGTGGTGAGCAAGACAGTATTTAGGAATTTATGACTCCATTCTCAGGCAATATCTTGCTACTCATTTTAAAGCCATTCTGACTGGGATTTGTTTTTCAAAAAATGCTTTTTAATGCTCCTTAAGGTTAATGGGTAATTCTATATTGAATTCTGCAATATAGTTATCCCCTAAGGTTTTTATTCTGTGTCTTTAATAGCCTGCATGGGAGAAAAGTAGAATAAAGCTTTTCATAATTTACCCTACTTCAGAAGATGAATAGGGAAAGGAAGGATGATGGATATGAAAGCTTTTTTTTTTAGCATAAGAAGCACTTTGCACGTGCTCAGATGGTAGGAATTTTGCTAACCTGCAATTTTACTTACCTTCTGCAGATTTGTTGATGTTTATTTAAACACCTTGCTTCTTGGGTCCATATTCTCTCTCTGTAACAGAAATAGTTGTTCCCTCTTGTTATCATATCAGAACTTTATTCTTCTACTCCACAAGGGAATGCTTTACTTTCCTTCCCATTAGATTTGAATATGCAGATAATAAACAGGGTTTTAATGAGAGTGTTTTAATAACTTGTACTGACTAAGAAACTGAAGACAAAGGCATTCGAATTGCAGAGGTCTATTATAAATTCAGAATCTACTAGTTTAAAAGAAAGCCCATGCACAAAAGAATTGAAAATTAAAAGAGATTACATTTAATATACCCAGTGAAGACTTCTTTTCCACTTGGCTGGGAATGGGAGTGGGTGGCAGACATATGTAATTATGCAGCTGTATTTATCTGAAATATAAAAAGTATATGTGTACATAAGACCTATAAACAGCAAAAATGGATGTTCTGGGGTTCATGAGCCACAGGCAGCCCATGACATCCTTGGAGGGTGGGTGGTAGGACCAACTCCTATGACCCTTTTCTTTGGCTTTTAGTGCTTTTTAAGAGAAAGGAGGCATTCAAGCCAACCAGTCATAGAACAGAGAACTATTTCAAGTCATGACAGTAAAAAAAAAAAAAAGAGAGAGAGAGAGAGAGCGAGAGAGAGAGAGAGAAATCCTGTTAACCAATCTGCTAAAAAATAAATGTGGCTTTAAATATGCATACTGAATGGTACTTAGATAGGTACTTAGATTTTGTAGAAGACCTTCATGCTGATTAGGGATTATTATATTTATAATAAACTTTACTTACATATTTAAGCCTGATTCTCCTTTAACCCTCATGAAGATGCTTTTTCCCCACCCTCCCAAGAAAGAGGGACAATTTATCACTTCCGAAAATGGTGCCAATATAGCAGTCCATTGTATTTTTGTACCTCTACCATGAGGCTACTGCAACACATGTTATTTTCTATTCAGTGAATGAATCTATGGGCTGAAGAAAAAGAGTACTTTGGGGCTGAACAGAAACTTGCAAGCTGCTTTGAAACAGACAAGGAGATTCAAAGTTCTGAGCTATAAAAAAGCAGAAAGCAATATCATCTCTTGTTGCAAGAACTGGGAGCTTTCCACTGCCTTTTTCCTTGGATGTTTCTCAGCTCTGTGATCCAAAGCTCTCCAATGCTTTTGGCTGCGCCAGGTGTGCAGCTGAGGCACTGAGAATATTTACTTTCTCCTTCCCTTCCCCATCATTCCTTATTTTGCAGCAGCTAGTCTGCACCAAACAGACTAGATTCCAGCAGCTAGTTTGTTTGGTGCAGTGCCTCTGCCTTTGAAGGATCACAGTCCTCTGTTTCCCAATCCTTTTCTTTCCAAATGTCTATTGTCAGCAAGTGATACTTATGGGAATGAAGCTCTGTGAAAACACAGGGGATATAACACGGGTGGACACATTCAGGTATGCTGACTAGTTCTGCGCAGACTTAGCCAACCATGACAGAGAGCCTCCCTTTTCCTCCCAGGCTTTTCTTTCTTTCTGTCTTTGATCTCCCATGGGACTCCTATACGGTAGCCCTCTGATCTGTATACTGATGGGAATATCAGTTCCTTATATATGCACTGTTGATCTTTCATGAGATCGGTATTCCTCTGGGCAAAACTAAGAAAAGGAAAAGAACAGGCTGGTGTGATGAGGTTCAGTTCCCTCTGGCAGCCAGAACAGAAATGACCAAAGACGAGAAGAACCAGCAGCTGGGTGAAGGGACAGTCCTGCTCCAGGCCAATTACAGTAGTCCTCAACTTATGATCACAGTTGGGACAGGACTTTTGTTATTAAGTGAATTAAGTGAGTTGCGCCAATTTTATCAACTTTTTTTACCTTTTTAAATAAATCACAGTGGCTT